TCTGACAAATAGACAGAGTGGCTGGCAAACCCCAGTGACTCCGCAGCAGGACCCTACCAGCAGTGACCCTCCATTTCTACAGCATTAGCAGCAGCCATGCTGGATGTGCTACATCCCTGCTACACCAATGTTTGAAGACGAACAACTCCACCACCAATCTGGACCCAAGCAGGACAACCTGGATGCTGAAACACTCGTACCTAGAGGTACCTTAGCTGCCCCAGACAAAGTGACACCCAACCCCACACGGCCCTGTGTTCTATCCACCAGATCCATGCCTCTATCTCGGAGAGCCCATTGGGCTGACGTGGCACTACATGCTTTCAAGTAGGTGAGCATAGCTACTCGCACGGTGAAGTCACACGATGACCCTTGCACAGAGTCTGGCTCCTCAATCACGTGAGTTTGTGCTCAGGCTCAACAAAAGACTCCAGCCATTGAATAGCTCATTTCCCTCCTGATAAGTCTCTTTTCCAGGACAGAACTCAGCCTATGGCAATTTCTTTCCAGCAGGAGAAAACACTTATTTTGCCATTATTATAATCTAACACAGATATAAAGGCGAACAAAGAAGGCAAGCAAATCCCATATTCAGAATGGAGTCCACCCAAAAATGTACAGAGAAACTCAGTTCCCTACTGTGATTGCGAACACAATACAAGTTCTCCATGCCATAACAGTTGCTTCAAATGACGTGCCTACAAGCCGTATCTTGGCAGACAGGAGAGGTAGGTCTGGTCTACATTTAAGATATGCTAACATTTTTATGGTTATATGGGAATTTTTTTTTTTTCCATGCCAGAAAAAGCCCTAGAAAATACATAGTTACACTGGCCAAAAAACAGAGAGAGACTGAGAGAAGCAGAAAAGCCTACAGATCTTTTGGGGTAACCAACTTAAACAGGGTTCAAACTATGATTCCAAAAGACTTGTCTCCTTCTCAGTCTCAGAGGTTTTAAAAACTAAATTATCATTTTCAAGTACAGAGTTGACAAAAATTACATTCATAGCAGGACACTCTAAGCGATGTTGTCTCCTTCCCCACCTCTAGCATAGGGAATAAAACCTTGTGAGGAAAAAAAAAAGAAAAAAAAATCACTAGCTTGCTATTTTAAATGTACCTTTAATTTAAGGTCAAAAAAAGCAAGTCAGTCCAGAAATCAGCACGCAACAAGAACTCAATTACAATCAGCAAATGGAGTAAAGGAAAACTGAACCCCAAGAAAAATAACTGAAAACAAGGTGGGGACACTGGGGAACAAAACCCCAGCAAACCTCACAGAGTATGGGGGTTTTCCTCCTCCTCCTGTAAGGGGGAGGAGAAATCTCAGACCTTGCTCACTTTACTTTAACAAAGTGCATGAAATCACATATTTTCATTCCTTGACACAGCTATAAAAGAATGTAAAGAATAAAATTGCCATGCAAAATAGGGCATTTCAATTTCACAGCAGCCAAAACTTCATGATAAATTTTTGAAAGGGGTCACTTTTTCTCAAAATATCAAATATCCTTTCCTCACTCCCTCCAAACGCAGGTAATTTTCTTAATAATTTTCACCTTTGCACTGGTGAACATACTGGGACAAATAATACATGATGCACAAAAAAGTCATAATGCTCTGTGCGAGTTAATAGGAGCAGTGAGATGCTGAATGTGTGATAAATCTAGACCCGAAAGCAAAATATGCCTCCTAATTAAAAATCAATTATTAAAATCAGTAAAGAATGAAAAAGAAAAAAGGCTCACTCACCAAACTCATAATGAAATCCTGGAAACTTCAGAGTTATTTGAAAAGCAGAAAGAAACCTTCAACATCTATATTTAACTAAAGATTCTTCTAAGACTCTATTGTGAGTTTCTCGATTTTATGATTAAACAGTTCTGTGAAAAAGTATTTCTAGTATCTTTTGTGCTTTATCTCTTCATTCCAAATGGTCATGAAGTTGAATAGGCAGCATTTGAATGCGGAATGCAAGAACAAATCATTACTCTGGCTCTGGGAAATCGAAGTACACAGATGCCCTGATGTGGCTCCGAGGTGATGCAGGGATGATAAGGAGCCACCCAAAGCCACCAGCACCTGAACTTACAACCAAGTGCATTATGTTTACCGACAACATCACCAGCTGGATTCCTGAACAGTTCTCCTTCAGAAGGTGGTTTTAACATACTTATTAATTCACAAATATTAGATCAGGGTGTTCAAATAACTATTTCCAACCCATTTGTGTTCAGTTCTGGGAAGATTTCAAACACAGAACAGCTAAAAAGTATCTCAATAACACAGAACCTGTTACATGAGCTTGGACAAGTGGAAATTTCTGGTTTTCACTTACTGTAAAACTAAGATACATTTTCGTACACCTAGGAGTGACAGAGAGATTAAATTAATGAGTGTTACTGAAGAGGTCTGAATCCCATTATTGGAGAAACTACACTGGTATTATGCATTATCATAAATATTCAGCATCTGCAATCAAAAGAAGGCTTTGGTGTTTACGTATATAATAAAGTTTTAATAATTCACTAGCAATCTTTCACACAGAGTGCTGCCACCACTTTCTTTCTGGAAAAAGGAAAAAAAAAAACATATCCACAATTTAAAATCCAAAACCATTCAACTGGAAACAAAAGCATCCGTTCTACAGAGAAATGCACGTTGCCAGTAACAAGTCATTTTTCCAAGAGGTAGAAACTCCGGGCTTTATCTGCCTGTGGCAGGCGTGTAAGCCAGCCAGGGGTGCCACCTTCTTGTGCTCCCCTGAGCACACTCCAGCCTGCAGACCCCTGTGCACCCTTCCTTTCTCCAAAAGGGTATGGCCAATGCAAGCACCCAAGGATGGAGCCACAGACACCCCATGGCGGCTGCCCAAACTTGGGAGTACTTCGGCAACAAAATTATCAGGTTTTTTTCCTCAAAAGACTCAGAAAACCTAAGGGAGTGCACTCTGAGGATGCATCAGCCACCCTACCCAAGGGCAGGTCATGGTACCTCCAGAGAATAAACTCAGCCCCTCAGCCATCAGCAGTCAAACTCTAAGCCATAAAATAGTCAAATTTGGTATTTTACCTGCATCACAAGCAAAGGGGTATGTTGTTATCCTTCCACTGGAGATTAAAGGATATGGGATTGTGTTTCACAACGTTTTGGCCACGGGGTGGGGGGGCCTGCAGGAAGACCTCCTCTGTGAGAGGGCATTGGGGCTGCCCCGTGCCACCCGCAGACAGTTCCCCAAGGGACCCACCATGTGCCAAAACTCAACCTGCCCACAGGAGCTTCCCAAGGCCACTGAGCAAGCTTATTTAAGAACTGGTGGTAAAAGTTCAAAAGGATGCCAGGGCAGAATGAGAGAGGGTGGATGCAGAAGAGAGCATGCAGCACCACACTGAACCAGCCTTGCGTGCTGCCATCCCCTCAGCCTGCCCTAATAGGGTGGGAGACATGTTGGGGGGACCAAGATTGGTTTAACTGCCAATTAATTCTTTGAAACTCCACCACTTTTAACGCATAAAACACAGGAAAAATCCCAACTTGACCCATAGCATCGGCTTACCTATCTCCCACAGAGGGAGAGCCACATTATCTAGTGCCATACTGGTCAGACATCAACTTCTGAAGTACGGTCCGGTCCAGCTGAATAAATACCACGGAAAGTCAATAGCCAAATCCTTTCAGCAGCACCACTCTGGGAACCAGATTGGAATTTGAACATTTGCATTGATTTATATTTTTTTTCTGACGTTACCAGCTGGGAGCAAGCACTGGAGAGAAGGTACACACAAATGTCTCCACAGGAACATGAACGGCCTGTAAAGGATTACCTTTTAAAGGATTATCTTTTAAACAAAGAAAAATTTGGTATAGTGCAAAAAAATGACTGGAATCAAAAGAAACAGATTAATCCAACAGGATTACCAGGTAAGGCTTCCCTGTACTTTAATGTCCAGACACACAGCTGAGAAACTTGAACAGTTTTATTTAGGCGCTTGGGTGCAGTTGTCAAGCTCCTTTTCATGGTCCACAAATAAGGGCTGCCCGTTCACTTAAGGCTGTTAAAACAAAAGCTTTGACGACTTATCCTCAAGCTTCACAAGCAACAGCGATCTTCTGTCTTTTTACACAGCCCTTTCCTTTACCCTTGCATATGTAAGCTCTGATCATCAAGTCCTTTTAACTCCAGCCAGGAAGGAAGATTAGTCGCTGCCTGTACCGCTCCTGCACTGTGAAATTTCCAGAACTGAGCTCTTTTACTTCCCTCTGGGAGACAGGGAAAGACACAGAAAAATGGAGATCAAGCTCTTCATGAGGCTTTTTTCCTGAATTGTTAACACCCGTGTAAGCTTTTACAGCCATGGTACTACACTATTACAAAAAGCCAAATAACATCAGTCTACTAAAATAAAACAGCATCCATATATTTGGGAACAACACATACTACATGCACTTGAGCACCTCTGTCTTACTAGTAGACATGTTGGCAGCGTCTCTTACATGCACCAAAAACTTATATTGAAACGTAATTGAGTATTCTGGCAAACAGAATGGGGTAAGCAACAGAGTTAAAAAAAAAAAAAACAAAAACAAAAAAACCACCACAAAAACGATAAAGCCTCATTAACTAACTAAAATTACTTTTTACTGTGTTTTAATTATTTAACATTTCTTTTTAAAGTGCTTATTTAACACACGTTCAAGGTTTCCTTTAAGTAAATTTAAAATCCTAAATACTTCAGTTCCTTCATATTTCAGTCAGCCTCATATACAGGTCAGCCCCAGCCTAATTCAGAGGAGAAACCAGGTTTAGCAGCACTCACAAACCCTGCCTCTTGATGCCATGAAATGTTATCCACTTCGGTGAGTTTTCCCATCTAATAATTTTACATTTCCATCTTTTGAACTTATCACATATTATTTTATATCCAAGTAAACACTACATCTGTTCAGCTTATATTTCACACTTATTTAAGAATAAATACAGCATTAAAAGCAGACTCACCTCCTCCGCCTCCAAGAAGGCTGGAATTAGCTGCAAGAAGAACAAAAGGAGAACTGTTAGCATTGAGATTTCTAAATATAGATGGAACCAAAACAGAAGATGTCTCACAAGAGATTTTCCAGTTTCAGTAACTCTGCTACTCTCCATTTACCAAAAACATCTATTGCAAAAACTACCATATATTTAAATTGTAATCACAGTCTTTACCCTTGCACTATTTTGCAATATCTCTGAACATATAAGCTAATAAATAAAACAGTAATGTAATTATTAAAGCTAATGTGTTGAGATAGCTTATGAAATTACAATCTTGAGTTTATAATTCTATAAACCACATTCCTTTTTGATTGCTAAATTAAATAAAAGTCATTTTAGAGAAACTTAAATAGACTTTGATGCAACTTTTGATTAGCTCTCCTTGTTTTCTGTGACACGGAACCTTTGAGGATGATGATGAGAAACCTTGGCCCCATTGATATCAAAGGGTGTTTTACCATTGTATGCAATTAAGTCGGGATTTCACTCAGTATGCTTAATTGCCTCTGTACTGTAACCATCCAGCTACTCATGCCAGAAATGGATAAATCACTTATGGAAAGCAATTTTCAGAGCATGGTGACACAAGATGGTCCTTCAAATTAAGCTAGCAGAATTGGAGCCATGCCAAACATTTTCCTTTCACAGGCTGGGCAAAAACAGAAGGACAGCCTAGGCTTCTAAGCCTGACTTCAGTAAAGTATTCACCCTTTAGATGTGTGGGAGATAAATCCCTGTCGTATCGTAATAGAGATAAAACACAGTATAAAAGCAAGAGTATACGGGATGGACACAGGTACTTATTGCTCGCTGATGAGTAAAGGAGAAGCAAGACATCAAACCATTTCCTGCTCTAGGACAAGTGTAGATGGCAAGATACACAGAATAAATTACATATTTTCCAGTATCCAAACTTCCTACTGTTCTATGTTATTGTTTCTATGATTTCCCTCTGTTTCCTGAATAGGAGACTGTAAATAGCAAATTCCCTGCTGCTGCTTTTTTCCATCACTTTCTTAAGACTTTTACAAAAAAATCAACAGTTACCTTGGTCTTCCTCAATTTTTTTTTCAGATATTCTACAAACATTTTTGACTTAACATCCACTGTCAGCTCAGCCACTTGCAGTCAGCTTTCCCTGACACTGCAGTGAAACTGTCTGCATTGAGAAGATAGATTTTCCATCAAAGTAGCATACCCAAGATCTCTTAATTTTAAAAGCAACACATACGATTAATATTATTACCTTACAGTGACTCAAGAAGTAGCTCTAGAGTATTGAAAATGCAATGCTCTTTAAAGAAATAAATATGCAGCTTTATATCCAGCATAGCCAACAAGATCAAATAAAATGCAAACTACAGGGACAGTTATCCATCCTAGGACTAGCTGCTCCTACACTCGTTGAGTGAATAAATTGTTGAGAACAAGACCTAGAGGTATGTTTTCATGTATCTTTTTGATCCAAGTCTGGTTCTAACCCTCTGCAAGATTAGATGGAAGAAAATGAGGCGAATAATCTTTGTTTCTATAACAAAGCCATTTGTAGCCATTTACAAAGAAGTGCCTGACTTCCTTTTTGCTGTCTGGAATATTTTTTTTTAATAAAAACAGCCCCACATATTTTTATAGCAGCTTCCAAATGTGGCCTGTAACAGGTAACATCACCTCCCCTGCAGTAAAATGAGTTTATCTGAGATAAAAATCAGCAGACTTCATACCAGAAGAAAATAAAAGTAACGAAGTGTCATCTACTGCCATGAGAACGCTATTCAAGCTTATTCTTTTTGACAATATGGAAGACACCTACAGTTACTATTCTAGTTCTTGAATGAGTCAAATTCTAGGATTTCAGATACTATGTTTGAGAGACTGAAGTGACACAGCTATGACCCGTTATACCTCACTGTAACCAGTTTCCACTGCTAGAAAACTTTCTTCTGATACCCAGCCAACATCCCCATTGCAAACTCCCATTTGATGGCTTCTCAGAGAATTATGTTTCTCTCATTAAGCTTCCCTAACAATGTTCATCTTTCCAATACTTTCTAAAACTTGTTAATAACATATCCTATAAGTCAGCATCACACACTTCTCTATAGAAACAGCAAAAACAGTTCAAATAGATTTTTGGCTGCAGTGCATCTACTACAGCTATTGAAATTGCAGTAATAATTCATAGGCGCTTTTTTTTTTAAAAAAAAAGAATCATACTTGCATACTAGAAGGAAAATCAAACAATTTTCCTATGATGGCAGGAAGGAACATGACTGAATTATATCCACAGTATCCTTTCCAGAAAGATAATGTGTCACTCAAAAAGCAAGAACTTTTATTTTCAGATTTTTCAGATTGTATCTGAAAGGTTCAATAAATTATACCTCTCTTTCCATCTTTGGGAAAGCCTTACCATTAAAGAAGTAACTTGTCACTTAGCACCTAACGAACACTTTTCCCCAGCCAGAGCTGGGGGTTTTCACCTGGATTCAGAGAGGAGGTCAGCACAGCCCCATGGCTGTAATCATACCATATTATGTTGGAACAAGCATGGCCTCTCTTCTCAAGTCCCTCAGTGTTAATCTACAGCTGCATTTTGTCCATCAGTTCTCCCAAATGATCAAGTCTTGCAAAACGCTTTGCAAGGGGCTCCTGCTGCAAAGGTTCAACTGTGGGTAGGTGAGTATGAGTAATCAGTGGTGGGACCCTGGGAGCTTTCAACCTCCAAATGTGATGCAGTCCAAATTGCTCCCCAGGCTGCACCACTACACTGTGCACATGCACAACTCCCCCACGTAACTTAGGGCATGCCCAGCCTTAGGTAGCACACTTTACAACATTTGTAGACAGCTAGTAAATCCATCTTGACTAACTCCTTGTCCTTATTTCTTTATTCCAGAGCTGCACAGGATTCTCAAGTCACAGGAGACCTGGGATGAGATGAGAGAGGAAGACTGAATTGCTACCAAGTTACCAAGGCAAAGAACAGTAAAAGAAAACAAGAAATGAGAGGGGCTCCAAAGAAATGTGAGGTAAAGACTTCTTGCACCTCATTTCAGTCCCCACGTTACCCTTTCAAATCAACCTGCCCAACCTTTCTAAAATCGCCTCCTTACAAACTACAGTCCACAACAGATTCCTGAGCATTAATTCTGAAAATCCACTCCCAAGAAAAACCTTGAAATATTATTTTAATATGTACTCATTTATACTAAGAGGAGTGATGACACAGAATGGTCAAGCAGCCAGCAGACTACATACTTTCTTGTCAGACTGAAATATAACACACATTGATAAAGCCTTATCCAAAACATCTCACTTAGCGATGGCTCGCAGGAGGCAGCAGAGGTGAGAGCTCATCTAATTGTAAATAATTTTGCCTTCACCAGTAACATAGGCTTCAGTAAAAAATAATAATAATTAAAGAAAAAAACCACCACATTTGGGGACTGGGTCCTGTAGTGTATTTTAAATAGCAGCTTCAGGATGAGACAAATCACAGCACAGGAGATGGTGTCCATTACCACTACTTTAGAACGAGTTGAACTCTGCGTTTTGAGAGACAGATCTCACCTTCATAGCCTGCCTCAGTAGAACAAATGGAAATACACCTTGAAGTAGTAATATGGCTTTCAGAGCTTTAGTTCTAGACTTCTTTTCATTACACTACATGCATTGGCACTAAAAAGTGTTTCGACAAAGTTCACGCCCATCTCGAAGAAATGAAAGAAATTAAGAGAAAAAAACAGTCACTGAGTACAATGATATAGCCCTTAATGAGATGTTTATGACCCCAGTTTCAACCAGAAACTCAGTATTTCAAATGACTTGACACCTCAACAGACTAGACTTTTATGCTTCTAGATTAGCAGCACCCGGACAGCGCTACTAAACAAACTCCATGAATGCTCGTCTGGTCTACACACAAAATTCCACTCTTGCTCTAAGAAACAAAATTCCTTCCAAAACCCTTCTGTGGGGAAAAAGAAAAAAACAATAAAAGGAAAATAAAAGACCTGGAAGGGAAGGATTTAAAGTAAGCTTAGTCTCTCATTATGGAATACCCACAATGAAATCTCAAGTTACTAAAATGTACAAATTTGAATAATGAATATACCAGCATACTTGACAAATAAGAACTGGACATGAATGTTTTAAATCTCACCCTTCTTAATGATTTAAGTCATATGGCTTTCCAACACTTTTTTGACTGAACAAGCAGACCAGGAACTCTGGCAAACATTTTCCTCAATGTTCTCTCTGTAACAATATCCTTGCCAAGTAGTAGGATTATTTGAAATTTTGTGGTAAGCAAATGAATGCTGAAGAAGTTCGTTCACCTCAAATGAAACTGAAAATCTTTCTGTGCTGTAATCCAAAAGGTATAAAAAGTGAAGAAGGATGTATGTATGCATTCCTTAAACAGACATTTGCAGGCACATAATTATTTTTTCTGCTGTCATTTCTGTGGAATTTAGAAAATAGAAAAGATGCGAATACCAATTTTTGTGATGTCTCTGGAGATAACATGCTTTTAGCTTTGTTAACAACATAGCTGAATAACTCTGGTTACTTTTTGTTGGCATATACTCATCTGACAACATTTTAAAAACGTAAAATCTTCTGGGAGCATGTCTTTGTCAAGTATTAATGGCACTAGTAACATAAATTGACATCTATGTCATGCAGCCATGCATCTGTCAGTATAATAAAAATATACTTTTAAAAGATTACTTGATATTGTCTGACTTTGGCAGCAGATGTTTGAGCTTATTTTGATGTAAAAAAGATTAAATATTTTTGTCAATACTTTCTAATTGTGAAATTTATTCAAGAAGACATTTTTATAACTGGCAGTGTTGTAAGATGCAAGACATTCTATTGCCTCAGACACCATTTTTATTCATCAATAAAACATCATAACAGGCAGCTGTTGAGCAGAGTACCAGTAATTTATGGAACGGGAAGCTACATTTCTCCTACATGTTTTGTGAGACATCCTTACCTGTCACTGCATTTTGTTTGATCTTTTTTCAAGAAAGCAGAGAGAACAAAGAAGAGTGAGGTAACAACTGCACCTGGAACATTCAACCATTTTTAACATGAGGTGTGTTTTGGTGCCTTAAAGTAAAAAGCTTTACGCTTAAAGATCATGAAGTAATTTTGAACTATATATAGTAAATAAAATACAGCCATACACAGTATACTACAGCATCGGCACCACTATAATTAACTTTACTCAAAATACTTCCTTGCACACAAAGCCACGGCAATCAGGAGAGGTAAAACAATATTATAATAACAGACTGAGCCGGATTTGCAGAGTTATGTAAGTGCCTAATGCTGCAAAGCAGAGACTACTAGAAATTAGAAAACCACCCAGCCTACAAAATAGGATCGACTTCAAACATTTGGGCACATCAGTAAGTACCACTGTTAGCATCTTCAGACACCTTCTGTAAATAGTGTCTTCAGATACTCCATACAGAGGGTGTGACGAAAACCTGCATGCAACCACGAGCAGAAACAGCTCCGTAATATGGGTAGCAGCAATTTACTTAACTGTTTTCTATGCTGCAGAAGATTTCTACAAACAAGTGGCTTCCCTGTATGCCTGGAGAGAGTATTCATCCTTCTGGACTAACACCAAAGAGCCGAACTGGGACTGAATCCTTTGGCTGATGCACAGTCTGGAGCCTCACAAGAGGGCTACACCCTGGGTTCAAGGACAGTGGGCTGGTCCCCGCAGAGGACTGGCTGCTCTGCACGCCCCGGCCCTCAGGTGACAGCTCCTTGGAGCAAACCCCACATCGGCCAAAGGCCTGGCCTTGACCCGCTCTGCTCCTGAGGGTTCCTAAAATGCTTCGGAGTTTAGCCCAATAGTTTTGGGGTTTGCTTGTTTTTCATGGGTGATGGAGAGCACATCACATTCTCGATGTACAAAGACTTGAGCTTCTATATATTAAGAAATCTCCTCCTCTTCTGCCCATAAAAAACCTCTGTAAACAGATGTGAACATCTACCCAGTCTTGTTTTATTGTTACCAAAACAGTACCGACTTCAAGCTCTCTTTCTAAAAAGCCAAGATGTCTACAAGCATGACCTAATGAGTCCAAACAATTCAGCTCATGAAGTTTCCATCATTTATTTGTCTTAACAAAGCAGATGATGTGAGAGACAAAAGAAAGGGACTGAATTTTCCATGCCTTGCTTTCTTCCTAGATACTGAAAGTGCACACTACAAATCTGTCCTGCCTTAAAGGATAAATAAAATCTAACGGAAGGCTTTGTGCAATTAAAAGTACAGGTTTTGTATCCGGAACTAATAAAATGGCTTTGTGGTCTACTTCTCATACAACCTGTGCTATTCTATTCCTCCCTCACAAATTCTGCATAGAGAACAAATTGTTAAAACTAAGTTTTGCCATCCTTGAAAGTCAAGTAGTCATTATCTCCCATTTCAAGCTTGTAAAGGTATGTCATAGGTAGATCAAGGAAAAAAAAAATCAGCATACTAGTAAGTGGTCTGGAGTTGATTCTGTCAAGGAAATTGCCTTCACAACATTCTGAATTCAATAAGGAAACAATAACTGTCATAACTTTTCAGTTATTTTTCTTCTTCTAATACACTACCAACTCAATACATTATGTGCATTTATGCAAGAAAGCTATTTTTTAAAGTTATATATTACACCCATTAAGCTTAATCAGTCATATGCAAAGCATCTCTGAAATCTGATATGAAGAGTAAAAAAACCAACCACAACAAACCCAGAAAACCCAACGTAGGCAAGGCAGCAGTCAGCAGCAGTATACTGTGAACACAGTACAGAAATAAGCACACAGCTATCAGTCTGGCATTTATAATTTAGAGCACATCGGAGGCAGACCTTCAAAGCAGAAGGAGCAAAATGACGGGTTTTTATCTTACAGTGAAATACACTAATTGCTTTAATGCAGAGTAAGAGAAAATTAACAGAAACTGAAGTTGACTAACACATACTGAAAAGAACATGAGAGGAGGCTTTTGGCCTAGAGTGCCTCCGAAATGCTGCTGTATAAACTTCCATATGGACTCAAGATTAGGCTCCAACTTTAAAAGGAGCATACACTTTACAGTAGCCTCAGGACTCCAAATCACCACAACTGCTTCTTGTTGGGGAAGTCAGTCAACCGTAGAAAAAAATGTAACTTAAAAGAATATAAAAAAAAAAAAAACCACAAACAGATGAACTTGTTTTTAAAAACAGTATTCATCAGGAGATCTTCAGTCCCAAGCACAACTTTGCAAAACACTTCCAGGTGAAATCCTGCAAAAACAGCAGTTCACACACACACTCATACCAATGAAATTCATACCCTTCACACCCATCCACTCGTATATTATTTTCATCTAGGCAGAAACATCTATTCCAAATCAAAGGTAAAAAAGCGATGCAAAAGGAAAAGTTTCCCACCAGCAACTCGTGAAGGACAGTTAGAAGAACCTGTTTGATGAGGCTGAGCTCATCATTCAACAGACTTGTTGAATCAAAAGCAGCAGTTTGAATGAGAAGGAGCTAGAAAAGGCTAAAACTGGCTGGTAAGCACAGAAACATCCATCGTCATGTTTTGCATGAACCCCTTTGCAGAGGGCATGCTCGTTTTTCATGTTCTTCTCATTTTTTTCTGGCAAACATGAGACAGGTGCAAAGCAGCAATAATTTCATTCTAAAACACAGGTTGATAAATTGTCACACACACTACCCAGTGCTAAAGGGAAAGCTATGATTAAGATTTCATCCATTTTGTGTGTCAGTTTGTGGTTTTCTCAACCACTTAAAATTGCCTTCTAGATCATCAAGGTATTTTAGAATACAGGCGAGCTAAAACGTAAAGCAACAGGAACGTATTTCAGGGCAGAATAATGAGTAAAAAAATATTCTGGTCTACTACATCCAATTCTTCAACTCATAATTTGGGCCATTTGTGCGGTTTGTAAATGTAACATGAAAGGGAATCAAAGTGCTGCAGTATATAATTAATCCATTTAAGTAGAGTAATCATCAATACTTAAAAGCCTACGCAAAATACAATAAGAGGTAGTCTTAAATTCTACCTCCACAATTAGAAAAGCAGTTTTGGTTGTAATTATTTCAAAATAATTAGTGACATTTATATAATTCATGCATCTTTCCAGTATACCAAAGGTACTAGGAACACGTTATCTGGAAAACAGAAAAGAATTGGAGTGAAGCTCTTTGTGCTTTCTTTGCTTTTGTCTTTTCAAGATTACAAGTAGCTCTGAACCTCCTGAAGTCTACCTGTACACAAGAACACTACCCTATAAGTTTTTCCTTTTTTTTTTTTTTTCTTTTATTTTTAAAACATTGGTATGGTACTTATGGTGTAGCTAATCACAAATTCAATTTCAATTTCCTTCCCTAGGAAATAATTGCATAATATTTGATTTCAAGAAGGAAAATGTCTGATTGCAGAAATTTTTAATAAAGCAACAATTATGCTCTGAAAATCAAGAAGAAATCAAAAGGTGATAAAAACTAACACATTTCAGTCTTGAAACATTAATAATCAACATTAAGACTTCAAAACAATAAAAAACCCTAAATTGTCATGAAATCAAAGGTCACTATTGAAAAGAAGCTACCTGGGGCCTTGCCCTGACGGCAGCACAGCACATTTTTCCACAGGGTAACCAGCAGTAAGAGGAACCCTGTGGTGCAGGCACACCCTGCGGTGCTTCTGATTTACTCATAGATAGTCTAAGCAAGGTCAATCCCAGCTACAGCTGCAGGGCTGACCTCACTGGGTGTATTTTGGAGAAAAAGTAGTAGGTGCCCACACCACTGGTTTTTGTTAGGGTATTAACACTCATCAACAATATTCAGTTTTTAAAAAGAAAAAGAAGAAGGAAAAAAAAAAAAAAAGAAGACACACCTCATTCCCTACCAAAACAGCCCTCGCACTTTTTTCCAGCTATGCAGACAAGACTTCACTTGCAAGTTTTGCCATAAAGTTCCGAGGAAGGCAAGGTGTTATTGCAACGTTTTTGCAAAAGCAGCCTGGAAGGAAGATTTTGACAATGAATTACAAGCTCCTGCAAGCAACTAGCGCAGACATGTAGGATTTGAAGAGCCTTCAAGTAAAGCACCGAAGGAAGGTCTGCTTTAAAATGTATCCAACTGGGTGAATGTAACATTCTCTGCATATGAAGGTGTTGTATAACCTCTCTAACGATCCTGTCTTTATACAGCCTGAAATTACAAGCAGATCCCACTGTGGTCAGTGTGAGCCACATGACAGAAGACAGGGAGAATCTGGTTAGGTATTTTACTGTACTTTTTGTTTTCAAACATAGGCCCAAACTGTTGCTATAGGGCTAAATATTTGTGTAACAACAGTCACGTATTCCTTTGTAAGGGAAAGTGGAACATAATAACCTCAGCATTTCAGTTAAACCAGGAATAACACATTACAGTAAAATATTCACTGGACATCCTACACTGTCCATAAGAATATTGTCCCAAATCTTTCTGTATACTGTTCTCAAATACACTATCCATACTTTTATCTTAACTCTTTCAAAAAGTTACCATCTATAAGCTAAAAAAAAAAAAAAAAAAAAAAAAAAAAATCTTGAGAAGAATCTTGAGAAGACCATGACACAATACTAAGAATAAAGTGTATCCATCAAATTACTCTGTCAGAGAAATCAGAAATTGGCTCTTTTATGATAAATTAGCTTAGAATCACAGAATGGTTTGGGTTGGAAGGGACTAAAAAAGGTCACCTAGTTCCACCCCCCTGCCATGGGCAGGAACACCTTCCACCAGCTCAGGTTGCCCAAAGCCCCGTCCAGCCTGGCCCTGAACCCTGCCAGGGAGGGGGCAGCCACAACTTCTCTGGGCAACCTGTGCCAGGGCCTCACCACCCTCACAGGGAAGATTTCCTCCTCATACATAATCTAAATTTACCCTCTTTCAGTTTAAAACTGTTACTCCTCATCCTATCTCTACTAGACTCCCTGATAAAGAGTCCCTGCCCAGCTTTCCTATAGCCCCCTTTAAGTCCTAGGTGGCCGCTCTAAGGTCTCCCTGGAGACTTCTCCAGGCTGAACACCCCCAGCGCTCTCAGCCTGTCCTCACAGCGGAGGTGCTCCAGCCCCCAGTCATCTTCGTGGCCTCTTCTGGACCTGCTTGAGCAGGTGTGTGTCCTTCTTACATTGGTGCCCCCAGAGCTGGACACAGCACTGCAGGGGGTGTCTCACAAGAGTGGAGTAGAGGGGGAGAATCCCCTCCCTCGAATTGCTGCCCACACTTGATACAGCCCAGGACACGGTTGGCTTTCTGCGCTGTGAGCACACATTGATGGCTCATTATGAGTTTTCCATCCACTGATAATCCCCCAGTCCTTCTCCGCAGGGCTGCTCTCCATTCAACTCCTCACCCAGCCTGGATTTGTGCTTGGGATTGCCCCGACCCATGGGTAGGACCTTGCCCTTGCCCTTGTTGAACTTCATGAGGTTTGGATGGGCCCACCTGTCCAGTCTGTCAGAGAGAGATCAATTATCTTCTCCATTTTACTGTTCCTGGAACATACAATCCATTACATGTCTTAAAAGGTGAAACATAATCTAAAGTTTGAAAAAATACAGGAAAAAAATATTACTGTTAGCTTAGCATTTTCACATGTCTCGAAAGCTTAAAAAACTATTCAGGAACTTTAACGAAAAGGGATATCACAAGTAATCAAAATTATGTGAAGGCCTGTAGATATTTTCAAAGGCATGACAGAGCCAAAACCCAAAAGATTAAATACCTGGCAATGACAGGATTTCAGATCGTGTGGGACAATTCTTTCTTCCTGTCAGGTCGTTGGGGGTTTCTAATCTTTCCCAGCTGCAGATGCTCACAGGTCATGATTTATCTCAACAATCATCAGGTTGGAGCCGTACTACTCAGTTACTTGCCTACCAAAAAGTGCCCTGCACCTCATTTGCCTTCGTAGCACCTGCATACTTGCTCCTTGGGTACCCCATGGCTGCATGAGAAATAAAGCAAGGAGTGTTTCATTATACTCTCAAGATCTGTAAGATTCCAGGCACTTTTTAATGATGAAGGGAGATTAAAGCTATTATCAAAAAAACCTGCAGTAAATAGGCACTGTTGTTACAAGATTGTGCATTCAAGCAGATAATATCTGGCAGAAGTGGTATTAAGGCTTTGATGAAAAATTTACTGAGGTTAGACTGGACAAGAATCTTTCATTTTCTCTGAAACTCAACAAGAGGGTAGGCTGGCTGCACTGTCACACACTGATAATGCCATGCAGAAAAAGAAATCATCAAGCTGCAACACCTAATCAATAATTTCATCGTATATGCACCAGAGCATCATCCCTTAAAATTTTCCATCCTTGCTTCCTGCTAATACCACTGATCAAATTTAGAAAATGTTGCCCATACCAAGCAGGACTCATGCTACCTTGTCATGTAGGGTTATTCCCAGTTAGACAACATAGTTCAGCTGTCTAGAAGAGACACGACTGTTGGATGCAGATCAGAAGACCACATGAGGAAGCCTGATTTCCCTAAATGGGAGAAGTGACGAGAGGCAGACACTGTCAGGTGGCAATGTGGGACCTCTGTGTTTTGTGAACCCAAGAGCGATGATGTGAATTCACCCTCTGGTGGCAAAGATGCTTGTGGTTAATTTACCATCGTCACCACAAGCACTTCCACCACAAATCCTTTCAGCTATAACCACTACCCAAAACCACAAAAACTGTTTGTACTTGCTATTTTTGCTAACATTTTCTTTCATTGCTTCTAGTAACAGTTTGCCCATTGACTCAAGAGTAGTACCACCATGTAAAACAAATAAGCAAACAAGTTTGACTCTGCCTGGGCCACAGCTCAATCACACGCTTTTTTATATCATAGCACCTAACTGTTGGAGGTATTCTCACTGAAAGCTTCAATGAGAAGGACTGTGGCTTACTAATCAGAATGTAGGACAGACGAAACAAAGGAAAAAAAATTTTCTACAATTAGACCAAAGATAAACTTGGGGAAGCTGATTAATCACTTCAAGATAGGCTGCCTTTTTTTTTTCCTATTAGTGAGTATTGATCAAAAGTGTTGCTCAAATAAGTACTCCTATGTTTTTGGTTTACCTATTTTTCTGTAAGGCAAAAAGGGAGACAGATACATGTAGCACAAAAACCACACTAGGATTAACGTCTGCAGTCCAAGTTTAGTCATTTTTCTCCCAAATGTTGCAATGTATACAGCCCATGTAGTGCAACTTTCTGAAAACATGTTCTCAGTAATTTGGTATTTTAATGAGTTATCATTTCTCCTATACTTTATATCATAAAAATTCACAATCTTAAGAAACTCCAACTTTCATATCGACCTTCTGCATCCAGGATTAGCATGTACTCACAGTGATCTATTCCACATATAGAAAACACAAATATGAATACTACAATCTAGTTTTGCATAGCAAACACTTCATTTCATTATTGTAATACTACTAGTATGATTTATGAGTCAGCTGAGTACTTCTGAAAAATGTATTGAGAAGTCAAAAACAGAATTAGGCAAATGTTGCTTATATGAATACACAGACCAGTAATGTCAAAGGATATTACAGGCACCTTATGGGATATGTAAGCACATCTGTAAGGCAGGTAAAGTATGTTTTTATAGCTGCTCAGAAAAGAAAAAGGTATGATTCATCTTTTGAAACTCTCTATAAAATTACTTCTCTAGTGGCAACTAATAGAGAAAGGTCCCAAAATACCAGTCACATGCTCTAATCATCAGGGAGAAAGAAATTAAATGACAATTTAAACAAACAAACAAAAAGCCCCCAAAAAACAACACTTCATTGAATATGGAAAATTCTATTTTTTCCTGAAAAGCAACTACAGCAATCTCATATTCTATAACCACATTAGCAAAGAAATGGTTCACTGGATAGCTGAAGAAGATCTTAAGTCCCTGAAGCATCAGGTAGGTAGATTACAATATGAAACCTGCACTACTAAATACATAGCATAAGTTTATGGTCATGATGTGCAAGAAGAGACTTTCTGTTAATTTAGCTCTAATAATGTTGTAATCTAAGAATATCACTCCTACTGATATGTATAAAACCCCCAGACAGTCCAAAAATTTTACCAGAATTTGTTACAGGCAACAAAAAACATACTACTCTGGCTGGAATAAGTGACTGCACAGGAGCACGGCTCTTTTCTTCCCCTGAAGTCTCAGGCAGTCTTTTCGTAATACTTCAAACAAATTAAATCTGCTGCAATTAATGATTATAGTTTTTTCCTTCAATCAGTCTATATTCCTCTAGGAAATTAACTTAGCTATTAAAAGCCTAAAGGCTGGAAAGGAACCTAGTTAGATGAGTTTTACCTCCTCTGTATTGCCTGTGTAATCAAATGCAGTTTCCCCACCAGTTTAATTCTAATCAATTTAATTACTGAAAATTACAACGAAAAAACCCACCTTACTTCTTACACCAGAACAAAGGAGAAAAGCTACACGTGGTGGCACAAGAATACTGGGTGGCAACAGTTTGATACTGCACGTGAGCAAGAGGAAATGACCAAAAATAGCTACAAGTTCTAATATTCCTTAGAAAACAGCCATCAGACTGAGGAGGTAAAAACAGCAAGCCACAAACTAAGAATAAAACTCAAGCGCAGACTACTTCCAAGGTGTGAAATCTGGGGAAGAGATTATTACTTCTGTATTGTGAAGCCTTGATCACACACAACCTGCATAGCTCCACTGAGTCTTAAGCTGCACTTCCTACTCAGTCTTTTGGTCAAATGCTTCCTGCACACAGCAATGGAAAAGAAAAACATGGCACCACCCAGGATGGTTTAATTCTCTCTTCCCCACCAAAAGAAAGAAGATAATAATTCCAGCATGGGAGAGCTGTCCATGCACATGGAGAGATTAGGCTAGGAGCCACACTCTTTCCTTGCCACGTCTCCGAAACAAAACTGTTTTATTAGTCCACACTGAGGAAGGAGAAATCAAGGGAAAACCTGGAGATAAATGTCCTAAGTGTAGAAAAACACTCTAGTAGAAACCAAACTGAAGAATAACACCAGGAGAAGAATGGATCCTAACAAAGAAGCCCAGGATGGAGACACAAAGGAAATAATCTCTAAAACAGAAATGGAGTGAAAGAAAAAAGTATAAGCTCCAAATTCAAATGCTCCATATGATATAAAAATACTGAGATGAAAGGTCTCTTAAACAAGTCTGTTAAGATAAACACAGAGTTACATAGAAGTAGTTTGAGAGATAAGTAAGTATGCATGTTTTTCTCCACCTGATTTCCACAGCGAAAGTATTTCTTAGTGTTATGAAACCCCCTTTTTAAAAGCTAATTATTTCATGGTATGTTTCTCTTATCTCTTGTCACAAGGAAACTTCTATGCTGATCAGAAAAATACTTGGTAATATAATGCCTTTATTTCTTTTGAAATATGCAAAACATAAAACAAATCCATTCTTTCATTGCTTTTTAATTTCTTTTTTTTCATTTTTCCTCTTTGACCATAATGGCTTTACTGTCTACTTCATAATTTCAAGGACCTCAATCAAGTCTACTTTAAATCTTCTTCGTCCAGATGACTAATCTCAGTAACCTCATTTAAACTGCTAGTTTACATTCTACTAAAGCCATCTGATCCGTACAAGAAAGGGGTAGAAGTATGCCAGTGACTCTTACTGGAAGACATTGTGGTCACTGCCAAAAGTGGAAAACTAATTGCCATACAGCAAGGACTGGCTCTAGTAAGAGATACAGCAATTAACGTCTAAAAATATTGGAACAAAGTATTTTCTTTTTGCTGAATTCACCAACCAGGCAGCTTTGTGTTTTATAATATGCACCGCAAAAAAGGAGAAACTCTGGCTCACCACAGACAAGAAAAATAATTTTTCTCCAAAAAGGAAACGACTAATGCAAGACAAGTTTTTAACTAATTGTGTTCACTGATCTTTTAATAATGGAAATGGTGGGGCGGGCGAGTGGGGTGTATGGAGAATACCATAGCGATACTTAGCATCCTGGAATCTGCAAAGAAATACAAGAAACTGAACTATACAAACTTTACCTAAAGGCAA